AGAAATTTGTCTCTTTTGTAATAATTGAGGTCAGAAGACCCAGGAGCCAGGCGTCATTGATCATTCAAACCCAGTAGAGAGCTGTGTGAGTCAGGCAATTTGAAATTTTGGAACAAGTTATTAGACGACAGTCTAATAATTTTGAACATACAAATTTCTTTTCTTTCATTTATTTTTTATTTATAATTTTAAAATGTAATTATTATATTTTTTATCCTACTTAATATTAAAAAATATAAAATTTATAATTAATTTTATAATCAATATTATGTAAATTATTTTTTAAAAATTATTTTTAATACTAATTAATATTTTATATATAATAATTATACTTTCAAAGTACAAATTAAAAAAAACTATTTATTTTTAACTAATATTTGAACATATAATAGTTTATAAAACATGTGAGTTTTTAATGTATGAGTTTAAAAACAGTGTTATTTTGAATTTTTAAAGTGTATGGGATTTTAAAATGCTGAAATTATATGATTTTAACTTTTTTTTAAAAAAAAGTTTGAAAGTCATGATGTCTAGCATTTTAAATGTTAAAATTTTTTATAAAATATTTAAATATTTTTAATAAATATTTTTTTATATTGATTTATTAAGAATATTTTTACTCATATTTTTACTCATATTTTTTATTATCATTTTTGTTACTTTAATTATCAAAATGTCTTAATTTTTTACTTATATTTTTTATTATCATTTTTATTATTTTAATTATCAAAATGTCTTACTTTTTCTTATTTCCTATTCTTTAATAAGGGTCCAAACTAATACGGATTTTACTCTATTATAACATTGGCGGAAAATAATTTTGTTAAGTTTGGAGAAAGAAAAAGAAAGGAAAGGTTAATAGGCTCTACCATTTTTGGAGACAAGCAATGTGGGGTCCCAAGAAGTTTTTAGGTGCTGATTTTATCTTTTTTTTGGAGAGGAATTTTTTTGGAAAAATGAAAAACATTACCATTTTCCTTAAAGAGACTTAAATTTTAATATAAATCAAGATTTTTGTTGCACATTATTAACTCACTTGAGATTATTGGTGCTTTTAAGAGCTGATTTGTTTAGCAAAGATTTTGATTATATCATGTTATTTGATAATAGAATGATTTATGTATGTTTATAATTAAGACATACTACACAAATTTAAAGTATAGGTTTAAAATTTAGTTTTTAATCTGTTATGCAACGAGCAAAAAGGTTCTCGATTGTAATCTTCCATAACTTTGGGGATTATGGGGGTCCTTCGAACTAATTACACTGTTCCCACGTGCCTACTCGGACAAACATGAAACATGATTGGTGGGGCCACACTCACATGGATTTGTTCGTATTTTACCCTTTTGGGGCTTCAGCCAGTCAATCTACTTGGTTTTTTTTTATTATTGATAGGTGATAAATTTAAAAATTATTTTAAAAATAAAAATAAAAAGTAATTAAAAAAATTATAAAAAATTTAAATTTGAAATTTTTAATTTTTATTATTTAAAAATTTTTTTTAATTAAAAAATATTTAAAAATATAAATTTTTTTTTAAAAATTTAAATTTATGAAATATAAATAATATAAAAAAATGAAATCAATTGGGGAAGTTACAGCTAACGGAACCTAAGTCAGCGGCCCGTCCGGCGTTCGCCACCGCCAATCCCAACCGTTCCTTCATCTGGTCACATTTGCGCCGTCTTAACGGTGATAAGATTTAAAATCTTAAACCCCTTAATTTATTATTATTATTATTATTTTATGCTTATAATAATAAATTATATGACCAGGAGAAACTTACTAATAAATAACAATTAATAATTTTTTTATAAATCTCTTTTTATCTATTTTAAAACTTAAATTTAAAACTTTTCAATAAACCATCTTTAATTTTTATTTTAGAATTAATAATTCTATTTTCTAATGATATAAGATTTGAACTTAAAATGTCTTAAAATTTCATTATTTTGCATAAATAGTTAGCAATTTTCACCTTATTATTAATTTAAGATAAATTGACAAAAATGCATTAAATTTGCTAGAGTCTAAATTGGCGGTGAACGCTATCTCCATAGTCAATTTGATCAAATAGGTCAAAGGAATCAACATGAAATCCGAATGCATATATACCCCCTATATTGTTGGCAAACAACGAAAAAAAAAAAATCATGCTTAAGTTATCGACAATTCGGTCTGCGATCTTTTCCTTCTTTTATAAGCACAATATTGGATAAGAGAGAAAACAAGGAGAGGAGAGAAAAGTAGTAAGTACCATTGACATTGAGGAGCAACCGCGTATATTGATAAGAATTACAGCAAATGTGTTGACAGATAATGAAGCAAGATTGGGCGGCGCGCAATTTGTATATGATGTCGACTCCCCCCAATGAACAAACCCTCAAAAAGTTGGAAAAAGAGGAGAAAATTTGTCAACCAAAACTTGAATTCATGGGGAAGGAAGACCAAAGGCATTACCACCTCTCCATTGTTAAATAAGATAAAGATGGTGCGTCTTATTTCGTGCATGACTTTGTTTGGGACTTTGGGTGTTCTGTTCACATGACCTCAGCTGCCATGTAAGCTAAATAAAATTTAATGACTTTGCGGTGTTCATGGTTTTTCTGCTTTCAATTTTTATGCTCATCAATTTGCTTTTTGATGTTCATCAATTTGTAAATTTATCAATTGTACTTGAAACGTAGGAGGTTGTATTTTTGCATTTGAAAGGGTTTTTTTTTTTTTTTAGAAGAAGGCAATATGGCCAATATTTTTCTGATATTCTGACATATGGTCACGTGATACGTAATTTTGAACACCAAATTGATGTATATTTGCATTTGAAGATTTTTTTTTTCTCAGAAGAAGTCAAATTATTTAACAAAAATTGCAAATAAAAAAAATAATCTAAAAAATAATCTAAATTTTTGTATAAAAACTTCATTAATTTGGGGTATATTTGATTTGGGGAGGGAAGTGGAGATAGTTGCTCTATTTACTTGTAAAAAAAAAAAATCAGAGAAAAAGGAAGGGACAGGGAAGGAAATGGATGGATTTGAGAAACTCATATTCCGTTTAATATGATTGTAATTTTTTTGTTCTTAATTTTAGTTTTTATAAATTTTAAAACTATTAAAAACTAAAATTAAAAATAAAAATAACAATTTGTTTAAAACAAATCTTAACATTGACAACAAAAATATCAATTTATTTAACAGCATTAAAATGATTTTTTCTTATTTCTTTATTAATTATGATAGTATATTACAAAAACATATAAAAATAAACAATTTTTTTATTTAAAATTACAAAAAACTCTAACTGTAAAATTTACAAAATCCAATATTTATAAATGTAGTCTTAGTTATGATTAATTATTAGTTTTGATACTATTATAACTTTCTTGTTCTTATTATTAATATAAAAGAACATACCAAGTGGTGTAATATAATATGGGATTTATCATAGGACAGAACAAAGACACATATATCATTGAATATTGGTTACAAAAGAGATTATCCTCACTTGACCAAAGTCTTGGCCATTGGGCTCATATCTTAATTGTTTTTTATTTTTATTTGTTTTGACAAAAATGATCTAGGTAGGTTTGTTTTGTTTCTCATTCTCTGGAATCCCTTTACTAAACTAGAACTAATAATTCATTTAATCAAACCACACTTAGGTTTTGTAACACAATAACTTCATATTTTATCATAATAAAATACCTTTAACTTTAGAATTTAAGATTGCCGTCCCCCTCTACAAATTATTATCCGTTCAAAAAAAAATCATTTAACCAAACCACTTTCAGTCACATCAATAGCTACCTAAAGGACAAGCACTAAAAAAATATGATACAATTAAATGTTGTGAAATGACTAAACAGTATTTTTTTATATATATCTTGAATTAACGCAATAAAAAATAATTAATTATTTGAAAATGATCTCCAACCACATTGTGGTGCACTCATGTGCTCTTATTTGGATGAGTCGAATCCGTCCCGTGACATATTATTTAAAAAAATATATAATTAATTTATTAATTTTTTTATATATTATATTATTTAAATTTAAAATATTTTATAATTTTAATAAAAAATATTATCATTGTATTATTTAAACATGTGACACCAAATGGTAAGTCAGGAACTCAAAGACTAATGCAGTAAGAGCAATGCTAGGGGCATTCGCATTTCGCACTCTCCGGCCAACACTTTCCCTTTCATTGGGCCACGTAAGCTTCTTAAAGCTTTCAGGCCTAATTTTACCGGAACCGAGATAACGTGGCCCAATAAAAAAGAATGTGTTACCGGAGAGTGCGAAAAGCGAATGTCCCTAGCATTTCTCATTTAGTAAACATGAGGACCATACCCAATCGTTTAATCTTATATTTATTATTACAGTAAGTGGACTGGCACCTCTTTAGTCTCAAACTCAATTATATTTTAAGAAAAAAAAAACGCATTAATTTAACATGGAGAGACTAAAGAGTTGGGCCACAGCCACCAACTATGGTCATCTATGTGTGACTCATTTTTTTACCTCAAAACAATATTCGTCAAGGCTCATGGACTGTTAATTATTAACTTTGGCATAATATTCAATGCAACCAAGTTGTCTCTTGTCCATTTCGGTTTCCGGTTCAGGTTATTGGTCTTCCCCTACTGTGCTGCCAAACTTGCAAGATGTTAAAGATTTTCTAGCTACTTGCAACGCGCCAACGAGCAAAATGGTGAACGAAATTAATGTTGGAGAGATTGCATTTAAAGATGGAGGAAATATTCCGGCCTACTCTTAACTCTTAAGTAACGGTCCAAAATTGCCATCATGTGGAACCCAAAAAGGCCCCTTTTTTTTAAAATAATAATTAATTGCATCAATTTAGAATTTAAAATTTGTGATTATTACAGTCTGTGCCACTCTACCTGTCCGAGATGGCCCCTACAAAAACAGAGGAGCCCTGAACATAGAGGCTTCCAATTGTCCATCCCTGTCGGAATCCTTATTGCCAACGTGTTGAACTATTTCTTTGCTAAGATCAAAGGTGGTTGGGGATGGCGGCTGAGCTTGGGTGGTGCCATGGTACCTGCAATTATCATCACAGTGGGATCACTAGTCCTTCCGGACACATCCAACTCCATGATTGAACGTGGCCAATCAACTGAGGCCAAAGATAAACTCAAACAAATCCGTGGTGTTGACAATGTTGATCAGGAGTTTGATGATCTTGTTGCTGCTAGCGAAGCATCAAAGCTGGAGGAACATCCCTGGACAAATTCGCTCCAAAGGAAGTACAGGGGCCTCATCTTACTGTGGCTATCCTAATCCCATTCTTTTAACAACTTACCGGGATTAACGTTTTCATGTTTTACGCGCCTGTTTTGTTCAATACAATTGGGTTTAAGAACATGCTTCGCTTATGTCTGCTGTGATCACAGGTACTGTTAATGTTATTGCGACTTTAGTCTCAATTTATGGTGTTGATAAGTGGGGAAGAAGGTTCCTATTCCTTGAGGGTGGAACTCAAATGTTAATCTGGCAGCTACCTAATTGGCTCTAGTAATTCCTTTTGAGTTTGCAAGTTTCAATGGTTGTGGGACTTGAATCTCTATTGTTAATTTTCAGGTTGTCGTGGCTGCTTGCATTGGTGCTAAATTTGGAGTTGATGGAAACCCCGGTGATTTGCCCAAGTGGTATGCCATTGTTGTGGTACTTTTCATCTGCATCTATGTTGCTGCATTTGCTTGGTCTTGGGGACTCCTAGGATGGTTGGTGCCTAGCGAAATCTTCCTATTGGAAATCCATTCAGCAGCTCAGTGTATCAATTATGATTCATTTAAATAATAAAAAATGTAACTTTAATTGAAATTATTATATTATAATTAATAATAAAAAAAATTCATAGATATATAATTAATAATATAACATACAATGATAATTACTTTCAAAAATAAAAATGAAGATAAAAAACTAAAATAATTTATAAATAATTTTAATATGATTTATCTCTATATTAATGTATGAAATGATTTGCAAAAAATTTTAATAAATGAAAAATTAAAAATGAAATTGTTGTTATTATTATTTTATATTATTATTATTATACAATTCTAGGATAAAGTGCAACCGAGTATAAAAAGGTAAAAGATTTAAATGAATAAAATTTTTTAATAAAAAATATAATTTCAATTGTAATTATTATATTATAGTTTATAGTAGAAGAAAAAGGGTTACATAATATAAATAATAATTATTGGTTTATTATAATATCAACCATCAATAACAAAAAAACATATGAAAAAACTTGGATAACATTATAATCTATTTATAAGCAAAACATGAATTAAAATAGAATTAATATAGTTAATTTAAATAAAACTTTAAAACTAACAACTTAAGTAATATAATGTAATTAAATAAATAGATAATAAAAAATTTAAATCTATTCTATAACTCAAAATTAATTAAATAAATAAAATTTCAAAATAAAAAGAATAACAATCAACTTTTTTTTTTTTAACATTTTTTGTCATGGAGCCGACTTGAACCGTTGCCTTGGGAGAGAGGGATATGAACCTTTACAAATGTGATTAGAGTCACTTAATTCGAAGGGTCAGGTTAAATCAACTTAATATAATATAAAATTTAAATTTTAATATAAAAAAATAAAAAATAATCCGTGCATAAACCGTGCAAAACCTGTGTGAAATCCGTGCAACGACCGGGAAAAAGAACTAATTGATGATATAAAAGAACATGCCAAGTGGTGTAATATAATATGATATCTATCACAGGACAGGATGAAGACTTATATATATAATTGAATATGTGGGAGATCAAAATTCATGCATGATATGCAGGCGAGTATTGTCTTTCGATAATTATATATTTTATAATAAAATATATTTTTAATTTAAAAATTAAGATTTAAAATTTTCTTTTCAATCAAAAAAATTTTTTTTTATACATAATATGTTCATTGACGAGAGTCAAAATCTAAACTAACTTAATCCAAGCACTGAAGTTTAAGCATGAACTATTGAATATGAAAAACCTAATTCATATTTTAATTGTTTTTTATTTTCATTTGTTTTAAAAAAAATGGTGTAGGTAGGTTATTTTTGTTTCCATTCTTTGGGTACCATTCATTACTAGACTGGTACTAATAATTCATTTAACCAAACCTTTTTCAGTCACGTCGCTAGCTACCTAAAGGACAAGCACTAGAAAAATATGACACAATTGTTGTAAATTGACTAAACAGAAAGGTTTTTCAATTTATATTTTAAGTTGGCATTGTAAAAAATAATGCCCCTTTATCTATTTAATTCACATCATTTATGCACTTATAATTGTGATTATATTAATAAGATGCATCTTAACCATAGATATTACTATTGTTTAATTTCTCATAATGTTATTTTCCTTCCCTCAATTTCTCAATGCTTAAAAAATAAATTCACATAATTTATATATTATATATATTAAATTTAAAATTTTTTATTTTTATTGAAATAATAATATTATTGAATTATTTATAACAATTGGCATTAAACATGAGGCCCATACCCAAGCATTTAATCTTATATTTATTATTATTATATGTGGACCGACACCTTTTTAATCTCAAATCCAATTATGTTTTAAGAAGCCTTTCAATGGTGTGGCTTAACTGACTAAATATTTTTTTGCAAATGAAAGTAATAACATTTCTGGTGATATAAAATTTGAGTATCAAACTTGACACTCTCCGATTTTTAAGAATAGATATTAATATTATCTATATAATTGTCACTTTTGAAAGAAATTATGTTTTAATAAAAAAAGCATTAATTTAACATGGAGAGACTAAAGAGTAGGTCCACAGCCACCTACTATGGTCATCTATGTGTGAGTCATTTTTTCACCTCAAAATAATGTTCGTCAAGGCTCATCGACTGTTAGTTATTAACTTTGGCATAATATTCAATGTAACCAAGTTGTTTCTTGTCCATTTTGGTTTCCGGTTCTGGTTATTGGTCTTCCCCTACTGTGCTGCTGCCAAACTTTCAAGATGTTGAAGATTTTCTAGCTACTTGCAACGAGCCAACGAGCAAAATGATGAACGAAATTAATATTGGAGAGATTGCATTTAAAGATCAAGGAATATTCCGACCTACTCTTAAGTAACGGTCCAAAATTGCACTGGAGGCGAGGTATGAAGACTTGGGAATCTAATGAATAGGGTGGGTGGGTGGGAGAGACTCAAAGAAGTATACGATGGGAACATTCTTGTTTGTTCCCAACGAGGGATAATTTGGAACAGAAAATGACCTAACATCTCCATGCCATACCACCTCCACATGTAATGGAAGAAGGAACCGAAAACATTACGATGACACATGACATGTACCAGGCATTTCGGCTCCTTTTTTTTCATTTATGTTATTCAGTCTAAATTACATTACTCTTAATTATGGTTGCCCTAAATCATGAGTTCATAACTTAACTTTATCTAAACTTGAAAACAAGAGATGAGAACATAATATACTTGTTCAGGATTGGGAAAGGGACCAAGTGCTTGATGGTAAGTGGTAGAATTCTTTGTGCATGAAGCTTGGGTTGGGCTGAAATGAAACAGCCCATAAAACTATACAAATTTCATCATTTGAGCTGAGCTACCGAACCAGATTTGGCTAGAATATACTTTTAGCCCAACTAATTTAGAAAAATACCCAGTCCTAGCCCATAGGTTGATTAGAAAAAAGAACCAGAATAAAACTTCATTCCTCACATTTAGTTGGGCTTTTGTAAGCCCAATATACTTGAGATTTCTCCTTTACATATCTACTCTAACTGACAGTTCAATCAACCAAAAATGCGTGAATCTGGAGGAGACAGAGAACAGCATGGCAGGAAGAGTACAGTCTGCAGCATGCAACTTGTGCTCTCTCCCTTCCTTTGTGACCCAAACCTAGTATAAATACATGTCTTCCCTTCTTCAAATCCTCATAACCAAAACAGTAGTAATACAGAAACCATTAAAAAAGAGGAGCATTTAAAGTTGTATGTGAGAATTGGAGGAAACTAAGTGGATTTACATATCCTCATTTGCAATTCCCTTTAGTTTCCTCCAATATCTTATGTCCAACTTCTAAATTCAAGAAACCATCATAGAGGAGGATCATTTAAAGTTGTATGTAAGAATTGGAGGGAGTTAAAGTGAATTCACATGGCTCAGCCAATTGCATGTCCCTTTAATTTCCTCCAATATCTTATGTCCAACTTCCAAATCTAAAAATCAAGTAAAGGTAGGAGTACATTTAAAGTTGTATGCAAGAATTGGAGGAAGTTAAAGTGAATTCACATGGCTCAGCCAATTGCAATTCCCTTTAATTTCCTCCAATATCTTATGTCCAACTTCTAAATTCCACATTTTGCCTTCATCTTCTTCAAACCAAAGGGTATGTCCTTTCTTTTTTCTTTTTTTTTTTTTCCCATAAATTAGCTATAGATCTCTAGAGTTCCTACTCGTCCATCAATCTCAATGCCTCAAATTTCTTTATGCAAAGAGTTGCATTTTGGATTTTTAATCTTTTTTTGGGATCGGGAATTCCATACTAATAGTTCATGTCCAACCCCAGCTCAAATGGAGTGAAAAGCAGGGCAGTGTCTCCTGCTGTCTTTTTTATTCATACAAGATATTTGTTACCAAAGTCCTTGACACCAAGTCAAAGATCAAAGAGAAAGCCCTCATCATGGTCCACATGCTCAACCCAACAACAAAGTAGGGTAACCCAAAAAATTGTTCTGTGCTCTACAATGGTTAGATCTATGAAAATTAACCCTTAATTAATCATAAAAAAGATGTACTAATGTCTTGCTAACTGGACATGCTGCAATTATTTCTCAGATTTATATAAAAATATTAAATTATTATTAGGAATATTTGGAACTCTCTTCAGAATAAGAGTGTTGGCTAAAAGACAAGCAAATACAGAAGCAAGCTTTCATCTATCATTATCCAAGCAATGGTTGATTATGACTATACTCACATGCCCATCTGGGTTTCATGCCATATCCCCCATGTGATACATCATAAATGCATCCATAATCACAAGAACTTTTATTATTAACTAAGTTAACTGTATTTCTCTTCCTTTTTACCATGTTTTATTCTTTTGTATGCCAACTGAAATTCCAGTCTGCCATGACAGAGTAGATCTACAGGGGAATCTTTAAAACAGCTTTATTTTAGATCTTCAGGCTAAATCTAGGGGAAAAAAAATGAAGGGGAAAAAAATGACGGAAACAAAAGAAAACTTGCAGAAAACATATGTAAGTATACAGTAAAAATTAAGGGGTTGAGAGGACAAGATTACAGTCAAGTTTCAAAAGTGCCAGATTCCACTTAACATACTGCGGAATCTGTTTGTGGATAATTTCTTGACAATTCTTTTGGCATCAGAAACTTCAGCTTCTGCTAGTTTTTCTATGTTTTTAAGGTACCCAGAAGCTGCAATTTTTCTTCTTCCACTGTTGCAGCTTGTTAATGACATTAATATAGAAAGTAAGAGCTTTTTGTTACCCGAATTTCCATCTTCTTGATCGAGTAATTGGAGAAGAAAGCTGATGTTTCTGTCATCTTGGATCAAGATTTTTCTGTTTTTTTGGACTGAGACTAATGCAGAGAGTGCTTCAATTGCCATTTCTCGAACCTCAAAGGATTTAGCATCAAGCAATCTAACAAGCTCCGGCATGAATCCGGCCTCCCCCATTGTCTTTT